TCTCTTCCAAAACAGAAGACAAAGGGTCGGGAAAACAGAGCTCAACCTTTCTTTTTCCCAATTATGTCCACTGCAGTTTCTTGGGAGACGGGGTGCATTTATCTTCTTTTAAACAGAGGCTACAGTTCACAGTCTCAAAAACCTCTACAGCCAGTTGCAAATCAGTATTGCAGACAAATAAGTGAACGTGGGCAGAGGTCACCATGCCAGCTGCTCAGCAATCACACACACACACACACACTCCTCTCAGGACTGGGAGGAAAAGTGCAACTTGTTTCTCAGTTGTGCAGTCAAAGCCGAAGAGCACCTGCAAACTCCTCCAGCCTTTGACCAGACGATTCCCTGAAGAGCAGCCTTGGGGGTGGGGGAGGGCAGCTTGTCTGCTTTCAAACAGCAAGATGGAAGACCTTCATCAGCAAAGGCATTTGGCCCCACTCTGGGTGAAAAGGAAAGGGCAACTATCTCTTGACCAAAACGTTCGGCTTGGTTAGCAAGGCCAGGCAAACCTGACTAGCCCCAATGAAGGGAGAGGACTAGGGAGAGGACTTGCATGCAACTTCCCGCTTAGGCCACGCAGGTGAGATTTCAAAGGTGTACTTCTCCTGCCCAGGTGCAGGCACATTCTACAATAGCTTAGACTGAGAAGTAACATATAGAATATCTAAACAGCCTTGGATAAACCTAGATACTGGCCTGCCAACTAGACAAAGTCACTCAGTGAAGTGGTTTAGGAGTACGGTATAAAGGCTTAGCAGGGATGGGCCTGATTAGTGCTTGGACGGAGATTGCTGGGAAATCCCAGGACTGCAGTCTAGACCGGGAAGGGGTGGGGGGATCATGGCAAAAGACAATGGCAAGTCAATTCCCTATTATTCCCAAGAAAACTACATGGACCTGTCACTGGACTCACCAGGAGCCGCCTTCAGCTCAGGGGCTTTCTGTAAACTCAAAATGCCTCCCTGGTGTTCCAGGGTGACTGTCATGACTTTGATTCCGAAAATCTGCACACAGGACAACGTTCTACAGTAGGTTTTCTTCTTAGCTCCTTCTCTTTCTTCTCCTTTCCTCCCCTTCTGTTATTTATGCCAAGAGCAATAAAGAGTAACACTAAACAAAACACTAGCTGAAGTGCCTTTTGGCTTTTACTCAGTCTTGGTGAAAATGTTACAGTATCGCTCTTGTTCTGTGGAGGACAATAACAGACCCTGATGAGCACTGAGGCTGCAAGATGCTTGTTATCAGGAAGGCTAAGCAAAAGACCCATAATGCTGAGCCTTTTCTCACCGTGCCAGTGAAAACGACAGGCTCCTCCAGAGAACTTGGAGCAAGCACGGGGGTCAACAACTAAACAACTTCCAGCAGCCTCTCATCAATGGCATATAATTTTCAGGGCCCTCAGGTACAACGTGTGAGCGGTTCCATCAACTGAATTGCGCTGCATAGATTTAGCACTTCCAGAGAACGCTTATACCCACAACTTCCTTTGAGCTAAAAAATTATTCAGAGCCCAGATAAAGTAGTGAATAGCCAAAAAGTATTTAACACATCCTTCCATCACTCAAAAAGCACCCAGGGAATCACTGAGTGAAGAAGCTGGCAGCAGCTCTCGGCTTCTTTCCCCGTCAGCTTAAGCTTCCTTCTCTACAGAGACTCACTTGCAAACCTGTCTCCAAGAGCCCCAGAGGTGCTGCTAAAGAAGGGGGCTTCCGATCAATGACAAAAAGATCCCCCGCAAGATTCAGCAGGAGGTGAAGGTCCAGCGGCCACATTGCTGGTCAGATCCGAAACCCAGGGTAAGCTGAAGGAGCTGCCAGAGCGCCTTGTTCAGGAGGCACAAGGGTCTCTCTGGCACGCCAGGAAGGAGCAGAAGAGCCAGAGGGGAGGACGCTTCCTTTCATGCCCACCAGCCAAGCAGGCAGCCGAACAGCTGATCTGCCCTGCGCTGCCTGCCTGCCGCCTCCATCCTAGAGGGGGCCCTTTAAGAGGGTACAACAGAACTGCCTTTCCCTGGTAGGGCCTACAAAAGACTCCCCCAAGAGACAGGCTGTCCTTTCAGCAAAGTAGCCACAAAATTATCCCCCCCCCAAAAAACCCCAAACCAAAACCAAACAAAACCCCAATATCTTATTTTTACTTCCACTACTGGCAGGTGCGAAGCCACAAAGGGAAAGCTCCTGAAGGGCAAAGCTCTAGCAAGGCAGCCCTTCCCACTTCAGTCACCGGCCTGGAGCTGAAGCCCATTGCAGATTGTTCAGCCACTCAATTGCATCTTTCTCTTGCTCATCTCAAGGATGTGAAAACTCGCTCTCCTTTCCCAAATAACCGGGAGGGAGGCAAGAGTCCGCTGCAGGGACATCAGATAAGGCTCACTTGGCCTTTCGAAGAACGTAGATAAAAACCAGAACGGCTCCAGCCAAGCGCATTCCCAGTCCTTCATCCACTCCCACTAAACAGCCAAACCGGTATCAACAGGAGCCCTCAGAACAATGCAAGTGTAACGGGGGCAGCAGGGGCATTCTGCTCATCTCCCCACCACAGGACCCTTGGAAGCCTGAACTCCGGACTGTGAGCCACGGCACACAGCGAGGGAGACTTGGGCATCAGCAGGGCACTCCTGTTGCATGTGAGATTTCAAAAGAAAAGCATAAGAGCACTGGCCACCAAAAGGGTCGGCATTCAAGGGCCTGCAGGATATTGGTATGGTGGCTCCCATGCCCTTTCCTTTGCCCTCCGAGGAGGAGGAGGGCGGCTTTAGACCCTCGCTCTCTGGCTCTTGAATGCCAGCCTTTTGGACGGTTGATGCCACTTGCTATATTTGTCTCATAAAACAGTCATCAGTTTTGATAAGCAACCTTTGGATTCTCTCATGATTTTCTTTATCACAGTTAGACATTTCCAAAACTCTTAAAGTAAAACTTAATTCCAAATTCATTATTATTCCACTCCTCCTCCTTTTTGTGCTGCCTTTTGAAACTTGAAGAATGAGAATAGGGCACATCTTTTTATTAGCCTCTGTTGATACTGTCTGTGGAAGTTCTTTCTTCTGAAGAATAGGATAAAAATATTTCAGATAATACACATACAAATAAACTTCTACAACTTTCAAACTTCTGAAAAAAACCTTTGTTATAAAATTGAAATGCCTTTTTCAAAGAATGTCCCAGGGTCCCAGTTTTTTCAGAAAATGCCCCATAAACCTCCCTGTCTACCTAAGGCAGGTAAGCCAGTCTACAGGCAGGATTCTTGTCAGCGTGGTTCCCCATAATGACCTTCTTCCTACTTCAAATCTAACCCCTGACTGAACCATTCAAACTCTCTGGTGGAATATGTAAACAATCATGCATTTGTTTCTACATCTGTTGGAAGCCAATGGGCGCTCTCTGTATCACTGCAGAGACCATCTCCAGTAAAGACCACCAAACACAGAAGCTAGCGAAATGCTGTATAAACAACCTTTTGCTCATCACGGTCTCCTTCAGAAACATAGCTGAGCTTCAAGGACCAAAGAAATGGAGAGAAAAAAGAGTTTTTGTCTGCAGAAGTGCACATTTTTCAGGCTGATCAGAGGCTTGGCTTTTAATGAGCAACAATCCCTCTCCTCTCAGGAGTAGAACTTTAATCAGGTTCAGGATGCAATTCAGAGGCCAGTCAATGTCTCACAATCCCACAAACCACTATATTTCTGTACCGAGGATCCTAAACACAGGAAAAGTGTTTTTTTCTTATGCAAGTACCTGGTTTAAAATACTGTAAGAGTGTTCAGCCAATAAGCTTCCCTAATCTAGATATCATTTCACATCACAAAAGAATCATTACCAGGTAAACTTCCAAGAACGTTGCTGCCACAAAATAGTGACCTATCACTAAAAACAACAGCAAATAAAAAAGTAGATCATAGATGTCCAGAAGGCACACACAGCCAATCCAACATCCTACAAGGGCTCCCCCGTCACCCTGCCCTAGGCCTGGGAGAACGGACAAGCCTTCCACGGCTTTCTGAGTCTCATCCGGGTGGGAGCCATCCGGACCTCGGGACGATGCTGCTCCAGGGACAGGCGCTGCAAGGCCCCCATATGGGACACCAAGAGGCTCCTTCCTCCGCCTGATCTCACTGACCCAGCAGAAACCATTGGAGGGACAGCCGGCCTCCAATCTTCGGACTGCAAGAAGGACCAGGGCTACTCTCTGCCCTGGACAAAGCCTCAGCACAGAGGCGACCTGGTGGTTCTGCTGGATCATCCCAAAGACACCGATGTGGGATGGGATCCCTCCGGATTCGGCAGCCGCTACCCTCTGCCCCTGGCAGCGACGGAGGGGCCGAGGCAAAGAGCAGGAGCGGCAGCTACCGGAGCCAATGTGCTCCCCTGACAGCCAGAGGCCTCTGGGCCACATTCACACGGGAGAGCCTGAGCCACAGGCAGCCAAACCACCTCTGCCTCCAGAAACAGCAACGCCTCGCTTTCAGCTTCCCAGCCCGACCCGAAGGAGGACTGCGGTGATGCCCAGGCTTATCCCGGAGACCTCAAGTCCTCCGGCCTCTCCACGCGACTCGCTCGGGCCCGGGAGAAGCGGCACAGGCAGCGGCCCTCCGCCTTCAACCGCTGGGCGCCCCGGGAGCCCTTCCTACCAGAGCGCGGCTCCCCACGGCAGGAAGGCCCCGGGCGGCCGGGGGAAAGCGGGGCGCTTCTTCGGACAGGGGAGCCTCCCGCGGAAGGTCAAAGCCACGGAGCCCCCGCCGGTTCAGGGCAGGCGCGTCCCGGGGAGCCTCCTGCCAGCTCCGCCTCAAGACCGGGGCGGCCTCGGGGGGAGCGAATGCCCGGGCCGAGGCGGGAGAGCGGGGCCGGGCAGGGAGCGGCGGCGGCGGCGGGGCCTGCTGGTCCGAGCGCCGGAGGGGCCGCAGCGCCCCCCCCCCCCCCCCCCCCCCTCCCCGTCCAGCCGGCCCAAACTCCTGCGCCGGGGAGGCCTCGGACTGGCGTAGCGCGGCCGCGCGCCCGGCTCACCTTGACGCGAGTGACGAGGTGCGTGGCCAGCTTGACGACGGCGAAGTTGCCCTTGCCGATGGTGCGCTCGATCTCGTAGTAGCCGATGCGCGCGGGGCCCGGGGGACGGCCCGCGGTGGGCGGCGGGGCCAGGCGGGGGCCCGGGGCCACGAGCGGGGCCCCCCCGGCGCCGCCGGACACCGCAGCCGCCGCCATCTTACCCTGAAGGAGCCGACGACGACCCTCCCCCCGCGCCGCCGCCGCCGCCGCCGCCGCCGCCTCCTCCTCCTCCTCCCGGAGCTGCGGCACCGCGTGAGCTCATCCGCACAGGGGCGGGGTCGCCGCCGCCGCCATAGCAACCGGCGGGGGAGGAGCGCGGCCGGCAGCGACGGCCGTGACGCGGGACGACGTCAGCGCCACCAGGAGCGACCCGATTGGCCCGCGGAGGAGCGCTACGGCGCGCGAGAAGGCACAAGCCGCCTCGGCCTCCGTCGGGGACGCGGTTCGCCCTCGAGAGACCGGCGCCTTCGCTGGGCCCGAAGGGGAAGCGGCGGCGACGACCTCCGGGAAGGCCTCCCGAGGCCCGCCGCCGACCTGGCCCTGCCGACGGGCCGAAGGCTCCCGGAAAGCCTTCCCCCAGCCCGCTTGCTCCGTTCAACGCGGAGGCCCGAGGCCTCCCCGCGCGGTCAAGTCGAGGTCGGTGCCGGGCACGGCAGAGGGAGGCCTCCGGCCCTGGCCTTTCGGCGCCCGCAAAGCCGCGAGAGACCCGGGCGGCCTCCTGCAGCCGCAGCAGCGGGGAAGGCCGCTTGCGCGAGGCGCCCTGCTTTTTCTTAAGAAACGGAGCCAAGGCCTGAACAGGCGGTTTTTCCCAGCCAAATAAAGGTCCTGGCAGCTCCCTGAACGGATGGAGCGGCCTATAATAGGAACTGGAAGGGAAGATTATAGGATGAATAGGAAAAACGCCATTAAGGTAGAATTAAGAGGAATCCTCATTAGACTCTCATGCAGATGTTTGGGACTAGCTCTCGGTTGTTGTTCTGGTGTGACAACAGTGGGAAGAAAGCCCTGGCACCAGCAAGAGTTCTTAGTTCACACTGGATACGGACTAGATGAATTTGGCTAACATCTTCACAAGTCCCAGCCGGAAATAACAACTTCCTGACCCTCCATAGATTGGGGTTTTCAGAGGGAGGAAAGAAGAGTTTGCTCTCCGTCTTCAAAGCTTCGACAAACCCGAGTCAGGATCCTGGGTTGTGGTGCTGGGCGCTGCAGGCCAGGCTCCATAACAGCCTGTACAGCGATAGGCTCAGAAGGCGCTGGGACGCCCTGGAATTGAAGCTGGAAACTGGAATTGAGAAGCAACTTCCAGTCTGGGATTCCTGAGCAAGAGCTGGGAAGGATTACTTTGTGCCCTCTAGAGTTCTTGACCAAAACCCTCCCAGGACCTTGCCAGTGGCCACATTGGCTAGGATTCATAAAGAGTTAAGACCATCTGAAATATTTACCTGGTAAACCTAGTTTACTCATCCCAGGTTCTGAGCAACTTCACGAAGGATACGGCTGTCAATGGAAACTAGTTGCAGTACTGTATTCCAGTCTCCCAGCTCTTTAAAATACACTCTCTAAAATTGAGGAAGTTAGCCTCTTTGCTAGCAGTTTAAAAGAACTTAAATATACATTAAAAGAGACTCTGATTTATCGTAATTGTTGATGTTAATTTTTCTCCTTGTACATTTTAAATTATGTTTTCCTCATAATCGCTGAGGCACTTCAGTAGTTGGTGGTTTATTAAGTAGTGATGTTTTAATCAACAGGAAAAGCAAAATAGGTCTTAGTGTGAGTTGCTAGTACAGCCAAATGATAATTGCTGTTGCTTCATGTTCTTGGGAACTGGCCCCAGGCGTCTATTTGGCCACAGAAGGTTGGATAGACCGGCTTTTTGTCTGCTGAAGTATAGCTTATGTTCCTATGGCATTCTCCAAGCAACAGGTGTGGGGAAGATGAGTTCCATATTTGAGTTCATTAGAAGAGTAGTTGCACTGAGACTAGACATTCCATACACCCTGTTGTTGTTAAGGCCCCGTCCCTAACTGGATCTTGTTCAAGGAAGATGAGCAGCCATCCGGGGCACCCTGCGTAAGATCTGATAAAATAGCTATCAACATTAATAGCACTTAAGACTTATATACCACCCCACAGTGCTTTACAGTACTCTCTAAGCAGTTTACAGCATTAACATATTGTCCCTAACAATCTCTTCTCATTCTACCAACCTCGGAAAGATGGAAGTCTGAATCAACCTTGAACCAGTCAGGATCAAACTCCAGTCTGGGCAGTTTGCCTGCAATTTAACCACTGGGCCACTAGGGCTGTTGATACCCTGCCCCTTGTACGAATGTTTGAGAAGATGAGAGTTGATCTGGTCTGATGAGGGCAGAATTTAAAGGTAAGAATGATTCACAAGATATACGCATTATTCCTTTTCTGTCTTTTTTTTAACCAGATCTTCAAAAGGCAAGAGGATAACTTCCCATTTTATATTCCTTCTCTTTGTCATTCTGTTTCTTCTACTAATAGCAGCTACCAAATGATCTTGACCTGGCCATGGAAAAAGCTATTCTCGCTGCTTCCAGAATTTGAGAGCTAAATACATGATAATGACAGTTCTAATCTATCACAAATGTTGACCACTCATGATTAATTTTGCACAATTAGTCCAGATGTTTTTTTTTTTTTGCACAATTAGTTCAGATGTTTATAGATGTGGGCCATGCAGGCAACAGCAAAAGGAGAAGCTGCATGAGATGCACTCCCAGAGTTAGAGGGTTGACTTTGCAGCTGGCCGATGGGCTCTGCTCCACGTAGAGATCTGTGGCCTGCATCTTTTACTAAGGCTGTTCCCTTCCAACTGTTGCCTAGGGAAACAGCGGAATTAGTCTTCAGCAGTCCAGTGGTTGCCAGTGGCAACACTGGAGCATCATCCCCCCTGAAAGCAAAGAACAGGTATGTGGTTACCTGTTGAAAAGAGAATCAAAGGCTAATCCTTGCATGGAGGGGAGGAAGGAACTGTCTCGTGCTTAGATGGCTAACCTGACCTTTTGTGGGTTTCAAGTGAGAAAGCATATTCTGTGCCATTGCTTTATTTGGCTATTTCCATTCTACCACCATCTTCCTTTATTCGGTCATCTGCGCCTTGTTTTGTGCTGTGACCTCAAAAATACCCAACAAGGAATTGTTGTTGCCTCTCTGGCTCAAACTCAATAGAATGGCTAGATAAGACATTTTATCTGGGGGAAGGCATGAGAGTAGCTGATGTTCTGTGCTAATAAGAGGGTAGAGTTTCATTTTCTACTCCCTGCTCCAACCCTAAATATTTTGCTTTCTCCTTTCCCAGAGCTTAAGAGTTCTGCCTTGTATTTATTCCTACAGTGACAAGCATCCAGTTCTTAGCTACTTAGGGGGGTACCTCTTCTGGCAAAGGAAGACAGAGCCCCCAGCCAGAAAACAGCAAGGATTTTAACATGCAAGTCTCTAAGCATCGACAGATAGAAAGGAATTTGGTTCTTCAAGCAGCAACTAGATGGCAGATCGCATGAAGGATATTAGCACCAAAGAATATGCTCTTGGTAGGAAAAGATGAGATGCTTTGAATTGAGGGAAAACATGGCAACTCTACACAGCTAATTCCTTTTTTGTTAGTCGTGAAGTCATGTCTGACCCATCGCAACCCCATGGGCCACTTTCCTCCAGGCCTTCCTCTCCTCTACCATCCCCCGGAGTCCATTTAAGCTCACACCGACTGCTTCAGTGACTCCATCCAGCCACCTCGTTCTCTGCCGTCCCCTTCTTCTTTTGCCCTCAAATGTTCCCAGCATTAGGCTCTTCTCCAGTGAGTCCTTCCTTCTCATTAGGTGGCCAAAGTATTTGTGTTTCCTCTTCAGGATCTGGCCTTCTAAAGAGCAGTCAGGATTGATCTCTAGGACTGACCGGTTTGATCTCCTTGCAGTCCAAGGGACTCGCAGGAGTCTTCTCCAGCACCAGAGTTCAAAGGCCTCAATTCTTTGGCACTCAGCCTTCCTTATGGTCCAACTTTCACAGCCAGACATTGCAACTGGGAAAACCATCACCTTGACTATATGCACACTTTTGTTGGCAGGGTAATGTCTCTGCTTTTTAGTATGCTGTCTAGATTTTCCATAGCTTTCCTCCCCAGGAGCAAGTGTCTTTTAATTTCTTGGCTGCAGTCCCCATGTGCGGTGATCTTGGAGCCCAGGAAAATAGAATCTGTCACTACCTCCATTTCATCCCCATCTATTTGCCAGGAATTAAGAGGGCCGGATGCCATGATCTTCCTTTTCTTAATCTTGAGTTTCAAGCCAACTTTTGCTCCTCCTTCAACAGCACCAAGAGGCTCTTTAGCTCCTAATTCCTTTGCACCTCTACAATTAAACATATTTTTGTTTTGGGACTGATGATCATCCAATGGTTAACATTACACGGTTTCCTATTTTAAAATGTCAGCTATTTCGGATCTCTTAAGAAATTTTCAAACTCCAGTAATCAGGCCCAATTTAGTGGATTTCAAATATTTATTGTCCATTAGTGGCCAGGAGGCTTTGGGGTGCTGAAGAAATGGGCCGATATATGTCGCTCGCTGCCTCGGCTGAACCGGGACCAGGCAGTGGTTTGCACCACCCTCTCCGCACTGCCATTTGGCCTCAAGCAGACGAGCCGCAGCGGGGGTGCTTCGGAGCTCCCCCAAGTCCAGGTTCCCGAAGATTTGGCTCTCCTCGGGCGAAACGCTGCGCCGGACTCTGGCCCAAGACCCGGCAGGCAGGCAGGCAGGCGCCCTTCCAGGGGGTGGGACTAGGTGACCTCCAGCGAGGCCCCGATCCCACCCGCTCCTCGGGCTGCGCCTGCGGGGCCGTCGTGGTCACCGTCCGGCCCGGTCCTCGCTCAGCAACGGGGGCACAAGCGCTGCCACCGAGCGCCGCGGCTCCGCTCTCCCCGGAAGCCTCCGCGGCGGCGCCCAATCCACGTGGCCAGCAGCTCCAGGGCTCCCCCTGGAGGCCGCTCGACGTCACCGGCCGAGGCCCCGCCCCTCCAAACGCGTCACTCTTCCCGCCCCCAAGAGGGCGCCGGCGAAAAAAGCCCGCGAGCGGCGCCCCCTAGGAGAACGCCGAGGCGCCAGGCAGCCCGGAGGCGGGATTTCCGGC